AAAACCGGAGTAGCAACCCGTAGCTGAAAATCGATCGACACAGCGCTCCTGTATCTTAAAATCTGCTACCCACAGAGGGATAAAACTTTGCTTTGTTCGAGTTGATTTAGCGGTGTTTTTAACACTTTCGGTGTGAGAAATGGACTTCCAGTTAGCCATTTGTGCTAACCGCCAGTTGGACGCACGGCGCATGCACACACGTGCCGCCATTTTGCCTGGTAAGACCACGCAACCTCAACCGCCATCTTACTACGGTCCGCTGAGTGACATCTCTGGGTCCATGCTGAACAGTTCTGCACCAAATGTTCATTCAAAACACTACAATTTCTCCTGTAACAAAGCTCATTTACATCCAACCAGTAAGCAGGGGTTTCTTATTCAGCTTCCATTCATTTTACAACAAATTAAAGGATCCGTACATCGATACAATGGCTTCAGAGCAAATTAATCAGTTGACTTCTCTCATTCTACAGATGAAAATTAATTTCAACTGCAGATTTCACAAACCCAAATGCTGTTTTTCCAGTGGAAAACTGAAACGCAGACCCAGCTAAATATGCAACTTTCTGAAATAAAAAACATACAGAGGCAGCTTTTCAATCTGCAACATGAAGTCACGAAAGTCCAAGATATTGGAGATGATTTCCAGGTGGGAGGGACTCTAACCCTGTGCTCTGCTGATTTGCCTCCAGATAAGATGGAAATGCAGCAACCGGATGTACTAATCGGCTCTGAACTGCAGGAAACACACAACATACCCCATATCGCTCCATCCACATTGATAAGTGAAACCTCCACGGACAGTGGCCCAGCGCCCCCTGGTGTCGTGCCTGACAAACTACTGTTGACACCTCTCCTGCCACAGGGGAGGGGTGGTAGTTCTTATTCCACCACAAGGGGTGCACCAGCACCAAAAAGTAGACATGACAAAGATTATGAGTATTAAACTATTCTAGGGGGCTCGGGGTCTTGGTCCAGCCCGCCCCCCCGGTAGAAAATTTTGGACATTTTATATTTAAAAGCATCAGTCTGGTGTCTTTTGAGAAAAAAATAAGAGTTAGAGGCTGGTGAAAATGTATGATAAAGTATCTATACATGTTCATGGTATTGTAATATATTTGATTGACTATATATCCTGTCCTGTCTTTAATTAATTTTGAACACTAACTGCAGTGAAATCCTCTGATGCTGCTCAGTACCAGAACTGCACTGATGTCATTAGTTACTAAAATAACCAATCAGCTGGCAGAGCTGCTGTTGAACGTGTGAGCGTGCACAACTTGCAAAACTACGTGACTCAATTTAAGGAACAAATTGGAATCCAGCTGCTGTTATTCATTTGTTGTTGATGTTAACATAGAAACTAAATATATCTGCAGGGCTTTAGGCCCAGAGCAGAGTTTTATACCTCAGACCAAACCACATCCTGACTTGTTATTAATAATACTGTGTATAATTTACACCAATCAGAAAATTTAGTAATGTTCACAGACATCCAAACCTTAGAAATGAAATAAAATCAATAGTAAAATTAAAAATAGCTTCTTCATGAAATGATTAGTTATCTGTGAACACTTTTTATATTTGATTTTGTCCAGCTTAAGCAGACATTTGCTCATTTAAAAAAATATTCAGACTTATTTAATCTTATTTTCCATCACCTGTGGATTTAGTGCATTCACTTAATATTAATTACAAAATTATAAATAACAGGTAACTACAGTCTGGTCACAGAACATGTTTCTGGAACAGAAGCTTGTTGGCAGAAGCTCACCTGTTCCTGACAGGAGAAATCCTCTCATCAGCTGCAGATGATCAACAGAGTAACACCAGCCCGAAAAATCCAAAAGACACCTAACTCATTCTGTTTCATTCGTGGACAGTTTCACTGCCATGAGAGAGAGGAAGGGGGTAATAGCGCGCAGAAAGTTTTGATGCCATGCGTTGGCCGTGAGAGTCGGGTGAGGGGGTTTGATTTCATAGCCGTGGCGCTAGAATTTCAGCCTATGTAGGGGAAACGCTGAAATTGTCATCTACAAATCTAAAGGGCAGTTTAACTGGAGACACGTCCATGGAGCAGCCAGCCAAGGGAATGAATTTACTTTTTTTCTAGTTTATATTATAATCAGAAATCTTCCCGAAAGAATCTATATAACGTAAAAGAACGGGAACAGAAGTAGTTGGGTCATCCGCATAAAGGGCCACTAGGGTCTCAGTACTGCCTAGCTTGATGCCTGTAATATGAGGGTGCTCCCTGATAACCAATAGCCAGGAGCTCTAATGCAACATCAAACAGTAGGGGGGACAAAAGGTCCCCCGACAAGTTTTGGGGTTAGAAAATAACATTTTGACCCAATGAACAAGATTGCCACCAAAGTCAATTTTTTTCAGTGTTGCCATTAGATCTTGCCATTCTAGTGATTCAAGGGCTTTGTGGGCATCCAGGGCTAATACAGCAGCTCTGTAGTCTTTACTATAATTTGCATACATAATATGGAGAATTTTACAGATATTACAGAAAGAAAATCTGCCTTGAATGAAACCTGTTTGGTCGGGATGGATGATGCTTGATATACTTTTTCTGAGCCGATTTGCCAAAACCTTTGTGATAAGTTTCAAGTCGCAGTTCAAAAGAGCAATGGGCCTGGGTCTGCCTCATCTTTGTCCTTTTTCAGTAAGACAAAAATATTAGCTTTGGTCAAGGAGGGTGGCAGGTTTTTATTTGTAAAAGTAGTACGCCACAAAGGGCTTACTGAAACTTACTGAACGAAGACGGAATAGTGGATGATAATCTACGGCTGCAGGTTAAGCAGTAATAGAATGGAAAATACTACAGTGTGCAGTGAATCACTTCATCACAGGTAAGGGTTTACTAAAGAGTTTTTATGGCGTTTTATTGAGCAGGTGTCACGTCTGAAATTCTAGCGCCACGGCTATGAAATCAAATAACAAACAAATAAGTAGATGCCTGCTAAACGGTCTGGATCAAACCCTCCTGCAGCTAATCAACACAAAGACTCCCACACAGAAGAGGCTAATGACTCACCAGGGGGTGGTATTATAGGTAGTTTCTGTTCGTTAAGCGACAATAAACAGCTATAGTTTGTGAGCTTGACTCTCCCATAATCCAGTCAGATATGACAAAGCTGCTCGGATGAAGAGTAGACCGTCTTCAAAAAACTAAGTCCAGTTGCCTTCATTTGAACCTACAGGTGCTGGCCAGTAAATTAGAATATCATCAAAAGGTTGAAAATATTTCAGTAATTCCATTCAAAACGTGAAACTTGTACATTATATTCATGCAATGCACACAGACCAATGTATTTCCAATGTTCATTACATTTAAATTTGATATTCATAAGTGACAACTAATGAAAACTCCAAATCTGGTATCTCAAAAAATTAGAATATTCTGAAAAGGCTGAATATAGAAGACACCTGCTGCCACTCTAATCAGCTGATTTACTCAAAACACCTGCAAAGGCCTTTAAAAGGTCCCTCAGTCTTGTTTTGAAGGCACCACAATCATGGGGAAGACTTCTGACTTAACAGCTGTCCAAAAGACAATCATTGACACCTTGCACAAGGAGGGCAAGACACAAAAGGTGATTGCTAAAGAAGCTGGCTGTTCGCAGAGCTCTGTGTCCAAGCACATTAACAGACAGGCGAAGGGATGGAAAAAATGTGGTAGAAAAAAGTGTACAAGCTCTAGGGATAACCGCACCCTGCAGAGAATTGTGACGACAAACCCATTCAAAAATGTGGGGGAGATCCACAAAGAGTGGACTGCAGCTGGAGTCAGCGCTTCAAGAACCACCACGAGGAGACTCATGAAAGACATGGGATTCAGGTGTCGCATTCCGTGTGTCAAGCCACTCTTGAACAAGAAACAGCGCAAGAAGCGTCTCGCCTGGGCCAAGGACAAAAAGGACTGGACTGATGCTGAGTGGTCCAAAGTTATGTTTTCTGATGAAAGCAAGTTCTGCATTTCCTTTGGAAATCAAGGACCCAGAGTCTGGAGGAAGAGCGGAGAAGCACAGAATCCACGTTGCATGAGGTCCAGTGTAAAGTTTCCACCGTCAGTGATGGTGTGGGGTGCCATGTCATCTGCCGGTGTTGGCCCACTCTGTTTCCTGAGGTCCAGGGTCAATGCAGCCGTCTACCAGGAAGTTTTAGAGCACTTCATGCTTCCTGCTGCTGACCAACTTTATGGGGATGCAGACTTCACCTTTCAACAGGACTTGGCACCTGCACACAGTGCCAAAACCACCAGCACCTGGTTCAAGGACCATGGTATCCCTGTCCTTGATTGGCCAGCAAACTCGCCTGACCTTAACCCCATAGAAAATCTATGGGGTATTGTGAAGCGGAGGATGCAATACGCTAGACCCAACAATGCAGAGGAGCTGAAGACGACTATCAGAGCAACCTGGGCTCTCATAACACCTGAGCAGTGCCACAGACTGATCGAGTCCATGCCACGCCGCATTACTGCAGTTATTGAGGCAAAAGGAGCCCCGACTAAGTATTGAGTGCTATACATGCACATTCTTTTCATGTTCATTCTTTTCAGTTGGCCAACATTAGAGAAACAAACATTTTTTCATTGGCCTTTAGAATATTCTAATTTTCTGAGATACCAGATTTGATGTTTTCATTGGTTGTCACCTATAAATATCAAATTTAAATGTAATGAACATTGGAAATACATTGGTCTGTGTGCATTGCATGAATATAATGTACAAGTTTCACGTTTTGAATGGAATTACTGAAATATTTTCAACCTTTTGATGATATTCTAATTTACTGGCCAGCACCTGTATTTGGATGATTGTGACCTAGATGACCAAGAACCTTCACCAGCGTTTGTAAAGTTTCACTCTAGCAAAAAAAATCACAAACTGAAGCTTTGACCTTTCAAAAACAGTAGCATTGGCACTAATGGAACATTACAGATGCAGTAGACATAGTCCTAAAGTACTTAACAGTAACTAGTTAACCTTTGACCCTGAGACAGCCATATCCAGTTCGGTGTTGATGGCAACACAGGTGACCTCTTGATCATGTCCACAGAGAACCTGCATTGGTCGAGGAGAAAGGCCGCAGGAGAATCCCTCCTTGTGGATGAAAACATATTTTACTCACATCTGCTTTAGCAGGCCACTTGTAATCTTAACAAAAACAAAGACAGCCACCTGCTGCAAAACCTGCCACACAATGCAGGATGTATCCCTAGAACCAGAGATCAGGTAGATGCCACAAAGATCCAGAGCCAAGCAGGTAACAATGTCTGTGAAACAGAAATACACTTGAGTGAATTTTGTCACATCAAAAAGAGAAAGTCGGTTCCTGAACACCAAAAAGCTCACCGATGTGTCGGCATATCCTGCCTACCAGCTTTCCCTTTCCTAGTTGAGTGACGCGAAGGCTGCAGTCCCAGTGTCCACCGCTGAACAGTAGACGGCCATCATTGGAGACAACCAGAACCTGAGCACCAATCACCACACCAGGAGAGAATGGTCCACCCAGGAAGCGTTGAGTCCTGGATTAAAAAACCCACAGGTGAGATTGAAACGAGCAACACGGTGTCATTTTAAGGTGGATATTTATTACCAACAGTTAAACTGTAACCTGTAAGAGAGCAAGCTCTGATCGTTCATGTGACGTAGATCAGATAAATAGAGAAAACAAGGACAGGGAATAATCTAAACACGCTTCAAACTCTAGAAATGACACACAACCGCCTTTCCTCTATCGGATTCTATAACAAAGTATAAACACAGAATGGATTTACGGTTTTTAGTATGAGGAGAAGCTCACTTTGGGTTGGTCATGGTCAGATCTTTTGTGAAGGTGAAGTAGTTGGTAATGTTTTTGTCATACGACAGCCAGCTGTGTGTCCCGATCAAACCATTTGAGCTCACAGTCACCTTTAGGAGAAGATATCACATCACATTCAAAAAACCAATATGCCTCACTTGTTCAGAAATATTCCTGCTGTGTGTGAGGGTGGATTTAGATGTCGACATTACCAAAGTATCAGTGCCCTGCATGATGGAGTGATTCTGGTTCTTTGGTACCACTGCTTGGACTAAAGGAAGCCCATCACTCACCACCTGAGGTGTGTACACACACACTTGATTACAAATGATACTAGCTGAATCATTTCCTCAAAGGAACCAAACGATAATGGAATGAGAGTTATTCACCTCCATGAATTTTCTAATTTTGCTGAGATGCTCAAAAATGTTTGAAGGCAGCGTGTCAAGGCGGGCCTGCCGTCGAGAAGCATTTTGAGCGGTCATACGAGGAGGATGAGGCTCCTGTTGGAGATGAAGATGAGTTAGAAAACTGGTGACTTTTGAAATGGAGAAATGTAAAAAAACAACAAAAAAACCTGAAACCCTGCTGTGAGTTATAACACCTGGGAAAAACATCACACGTTTGGTAAGATTCCAGTTGTGTTTGTTTATGTGAACAAGTAATCACAGATATGACTCAGAAGTGGTGAGCTGTTGAACACTGTGGTGGTACCAGCTACACCAGGGTTGCACACCTGCACACATTTAATGAGTTGCTACTGTTCACGCTCTCTCTGCATCTCAGGAACTCACAGCTCTGGCAAGCTCCTCTCCACAGCTCTTAGTCTGTTTCAGTCTGCCCCGTCTTCTCTAATGTCTCGGTATTTGAGCCTGCTCACTCTGATTAGGGATGCACATCAGGTGCGCTGTTGCTGGCCCTCGGTGGCCTCCTGCCTGTGCACTGCCACAAACACGTACTGTATGTCTCCATGGCTCCAAGTGTCACATTTAAATAAGAATCCTTAAATCTCATTGACTTGTGCAGATATGTAATTTATCACTGGACATCTTTTTTCTGTTAACTTTGTGTCACACTTTAAATGACTGATAGTCAGGTTTTATGAAACATTTTTTTAAAAAGTGGAATATAATAAAGTGCTTGGTCAGCATCTGTTCAGTGGGAGGCAGGGAAATGAGTTATGAGCGGCAAAATAATCTCTTTCTCATCACACGGTAAATGGCATGCATTTGTAAAGTGTCTTCTATGCGTTCTAAAAACCCCAAGGCACTTCACATCACAATCAGTCATTCACCCATTCACACGGTGGTGGCGATGTAGCCACAGCTGCCCTGGGGTGCAAAGACAGAGGTAAGTAAAAGATTAAATGAAGAATAAAGTTTATATATGTTTCAAGAATCATTGAAATACTATCTGTGTTTTCACAATTATGAACTACTTAAAAAAAAAAAAAAAAAAAATATATATATATATATATATATATATATATATATAGTGGGGAAAAAACATAGGGCAACATTCAAATGGGTGTCTATATAAGCAGTATTTATTCACACCAGAACATGGTTATTACACAAGGGTGTAGAAGAAATGATTTCACTTGTAGAATCACAACAAATATAAAACACATAATGAACTGTAAAATCAACCGTGTACAAAAAAATGATAAATAAACCTAAATGTACCCAAATAGAGTAAGATTGTTATTCAGGCAGGTGGGAATGACGCCCGAGTACACCAATGATTGGTTACGGGGATGGGATTAATCCAATAGGCAATGGCTGAAAGAGCTACGCTATACTCATATAATCTGGGGTTACAATATCTAACCAACGTTACTCTATCTACCAAAGAGGTGCTAACTAAAAAGAAGTCTATTCTTGAAAATGTTTTGCGACGATGTGAAAAGAAAGTAAAATCTTTTGCAGTCGGATTCATCAGTCCCCATACATCTAATAAACCCATATGCTTATTCAACATTTGTAGGGCCTGCCTTAACTTATTCTCATATATGGGTCTCCTGGATAAAAGCAATGTCTGCGCAGTTATTTTTTAAGAATGTAAAAATGTTTGCCTTTTAATAGGGCATCCATTTAAATTTCAAGAAATTACCTTGACCTGTCTGACATGTGTGGCTATTTTAAACTATCATATCTGCCCTCAACCCCTTACAAAGACTGACCCTGCTTCTGAATTTCCTATCATCGTTATTAACCAACACATACCAGCCAACTTCTTAACTCTCATAACTAAACATAACATCAATAACCCAAACCAGAAGGAACCAATAAAACTCTACCGAAAATGTCTGGCTGCTTCTAAACAGCCAGTGCCCATGTGTCCAACACGCTTTAAAGTGGAAACAAAAAAAAGTGTGAATATATATATATATATATATATATATATATATATATATATATATATATATATATAGGTCTAGAGGTGATCAGGCTTTCTCGGTCTTGACTCCTTCTCTCTGGAATGAGCTTCCTCTTGATATTAAAGAGCAAGTTGCAGGTTAGAGACTCCCATGAACCGATGTTTAGGGAAACATAATAGAAACTCTGTTTAAACATTTTTTTTACACATACATAAATTCAAATCAAATCACTTTTATTGTCACGTCACATGTGCAGGTACACTGGTACAGTACATGCGAGTGAAATTCTTGTGTGCGAGCTTCACAGCAACAGAGTTATGCAAAAATACAGTAATGTAAATCAAGTAAAATATAAAAATGGCTAATCTAAGTAATAATATGTATAAGTTGTAATGTATATACATTACTAAATGTTTATGCAAGTATATTATTATTATTTTTTATATATTGTTCTACGTGTGTGCGTGTGAGTGTGTGAGTGTGTGTATAGTGTGTACATACATGTTTTACAAATGAATAAAGTAAACAATAAGATAAGAGATATAAAATATACAGAGGTTGGTATGTGCAAAACAGTGGCATTAATGTACAGTATGGAGTGTGTAATGTTGGAGTTTCAGTAGTGAGGGTGAGGTGTCTGCGCCGTGTTCAGCAGTCTGATGGCCTGATGGAAAAAGCTGTCACAGTCTGCTGGTTCTGGACCGGATGCTGCAGAACCTCCTTCCTGATGGAAGTAGTCTGAACAGTTTATGGCTGGGGTGACTTGAGTCCTTGATGATCCTCCCCGCTTTCCTCAGGCACCGCTTCCTGTAGATGTCCTGGAGGGAGGGAAGCTCACCTCCAATAATCCTTTCTGCACACCGCACTACTCTCTGGAGAGCTTTGCGGTTGTAAGCGGTGCTGTTGCCATACCAGGTGGAGATGCATCCAGTGAGGATGCTCTCAATGGCACAGCGATAGAAGGTCCTGAGGATGCGGTGGCTCATGCCAAATCTTTTCAGTTTGGCATTTCAGTTCAAATTATTTAGGCTTTATGGGTTATTTTTGTGAGAGAGGGTTTTTTTTTTGGCCAAACCAAGTGATGTCATGTGAGGGAGTCCTGTTAGCACAGAGAAAACTTTAGATGTTTACAGTTATACTCATGATGGACTAAAACCATAAAGTTATGAGTTTGCTGCTCGCCCCAGAGGGCAGAGACACATCTGTGATCTGGTTCTGGAGCTCATGCGGGCTTCTGTGAGCTGGATCATACCCAGAATCCAGCTCGACTGGCCTGCTGAGCCGCACGTCTCTTCTGGTGGTCGGTTCTGACCTGGTTCTGACGGTGATCTGAGTTCCAGAAATCGCATTGGTTTTTTTAAACCCCGCCTCGGGTCTCCGGAGCCCAGCGCGGACCTCCCTGTCCCGGTACCGACCGATGTGGGCTACAGAAGTCTGTCTTTTCAGGTGCAGAAACGCAAACTCAGGCACGGAGATAGAGGCGTTGTTTCTCTTGTCTGGAAACCCGTGGACTCGATGTCCAGACAGGCTGGAGTTGGTACAGCCTTCACACACTAGTTTATCAACATGAACACAACCCAACACTAGTAAACACACACACTGACTGGATCACATGACCTCTCTACCCTAAAGCTACCCACTCTCCACACCGAGCTGAGGCAGCACCGAGCGTCTAACTCCCTTTGGTTACGTCAGAGGTTCACATTTAGAAACAATGAGTCATTTTAAATCCAACATTCAAAGACCAATCAGGTTGATAATTCATATTTATATGGAATATCACATCTTATTGATAATTTAATAAATGTAGCTGATCCTCACCACTACAGCTTCAAAGACGGTGATTTTCGCCGAAAAGCTACATGTTTGCAGGTATGCTTTAGGTCCTGGGCCAATGAGTTCTGAGCTCAGCCTGTACTGGAGGGGCTGGTGCGGGTGAGCTTGGGGGCTTGCAGTTCTTATCTTCTGGACTGCTGACACGGCAACTGGTTGATTTATATATCCCCATGATGTTGGCGCAGTGATATTTTGGTTCTGTTGTATTTTTTTGGTGTTCCCTTTTCTCCCCCTCTCTCTCTGTGCAGGTCTAGAAGCAGCTTCTTGTACATTTTTATTGCTTATTCTTGTGAACTTTTCCCTCCACCTCTTCCTTTCCTCTCTCACCTTTCTCTGTCATTTCTGTCTCCATGTTCATCGGGATTGAAAACAACCAAAAGCAAAAAAGTATTTATATCAGTATTTATAGCTGAAACACTCCACCTGTTACAATAAAACAAAAAATAAATAACATTTGTCCTGCGATGGACTGGCTCTCTGTCCAGGGTGTACCCCGCCTGATTGCCCATTGGCTGCTGGAGATAGGCACCAAGCCCCCCCCCCGCGACCCTACGTGGACAAGCGGGTTCAGAAAATGGATGGATGGATAAACAAGATTTGTTTTTCGGCACTCAGGCATCAGCTCTGATTGCTTTACAGCTGGACAGGACAAGGGGAAAAAAGAAAATCTGAATCAGCGTTTATGCAGATCTTGGTGGTTTTAACTGCACCTTGAGTAGTTGACAGGGTGTCTGTCCAAAGTTGCTGATGATGCCTTCCAAGGCCTTGCGCTCATTCTCGTTGGCTATAGCGTCCAGATCTACGGCACCTGCAGAAGTCAAATTTTCAAAATTAAGTCTCATTAAATAAGTTAAAAAAACATTTTAATAAAGCAGCACCTTTTCAATTACCAAGTCACATATTGTTATCCTGAACGTTTATTAGGATAAATGAAGATATTTAAAAAGGTAATTAATTCAACAACTTAGGGATGGCATCACGATTACGTATTTTTTGCTCCCAATCCACTTCCGAGTCATGTATTGTAAGAACACAGTCCCAATCCAATACTTTAGAAATGCATTAAGAAAAAAGGAGAACACACTAAAGTTTAAGTTGTTTTAATCATTAATTTGTTTATGTATTGTGACGGCAGTGCCTGTCACCTCAGGGGTATGGTCTTCTGGTAATATTTATTTGTTTCCTGTGTTCTGTCTAGAATGACTGGTTGATGTGCACACACATCAGTCTTCTAATGTTTATGAATGCATGTGTTGATTTTGTATTTTATTTGAGTTACCAGTGACTTGGAGTTGCCCCTGGAGTCTCACACACCTGCAGCTCATCTCCTCAGGAAGCCTAATCAGCACTCCTGGGATCTACCTACTCCCAAGGGAGGGGAGATTCATGATTCTAATCGGTTACCTGAACCGATTAGACTGGTTAGTGTGTGTGTGTGTGTGTGTGTGTGTGTGTGTGTGTGTGTGTGTGTGTGTGTGTGTGTGTTAATGGTTACTCTCTTGTTTGTAGAGCGGTCTGATCAGCCACTATTTAAGTCGAACCTGGTGTGTCTAAATGTTTCTTCTTTATGATGTTTGTGTGTCATTCTGACTAGTCTAGTCCCAGACGATATCCTGAGTTTAAGTGGATATATTTATTATACCAAGTTCATGTTATTTTTGAAGCTTCTCCAAAACAAAATGTGTGGCAGGGCTGTGCAGAGACCTTTGAAGGGGCACATGCTTAAAGTTAAAAAAGGGGCACATCTAGAGCAAATATATAGAAAAGTATTTCATTTACATTTTTACATTTCATTCAATGTAAAAATGTCCGCATGCTACAGGTTAACATCTGTCCACTTAAACATATCAAAACAAGGATCTCGCGTGCGTCTTCATGATGCAGGTAAACCTCCTCCTCAGATCCAGTATGGTGGTTGAGGAGCCTATTGAGTGGGTGCACACTGCTTTGATGATGGGACGTAAGCTCATTCTCACTCAGTGGAAAACCGCCTCCCCTCTTTCATTCACTCAAGTGGTATAATCTTTTGAAAAAACTAGCCTCATTTCAACGTCTATCATATAAACTCTCAAACAAGTTGGACAGGTTTCACTCAAAGTGGGATTTTTACATTCACAAACTTAAAGGACTGCCTCAAGGCCCCAGATTAAAACAACCATTATAGCTTGGGGAATGCTAATTGATGCGTATCCTCTCTCGTTTTCATTTCAGGTTGTCTTGTTTATATAGTATTCAGTCAGCAATGCTCCCTCTGGAGTTTGTCTTTTTCTTTTTTTGACACACAGCTAATTTTTGTTATTCTTTGTATTAATATTTGTTGAATAAAAAGTTAATCTAAAAAAATACCACTGATAAAATATATAAAAGATGGTTAAACAGGCTAAACTAGATCAAATTAAGCTAAAAGCTGTACTAAAAAAGTGAGTCTTGAGCCTGGCTCTAAAAACATGAACATTCTCTGCGGCCCTGAAGTCTTTTGGCAGACCGTTCCAAAGATAAGGGCCCAAAAACTGGAAGGATGCCGCGCCTTGGGAGTGTGTCCTGACTTTTGGTATGACAAGGAGACGGTTGCCAGAGGGCCGCAGGGACCGTGAAGGCTCGTATTTCAGAAGTAGTTCTGAGCAGGGCCAGATTAACACTTTGTTGTACCCTGGGCAACAATATTCAAGGGCTCCATCATCACGACCCGAGGATCACCATAATATGGTCACATACAGAATATTTTACTGTAATATGCAGTAAATATACTCAATACTTGAATGCCTGACTTCTTGTAACCCGCCCAGAGTAACCTTTGACCCACCTTGTGTGGACTGACCAATGAGGAGAGGGTCTTAACTTGAGGCCCTCTCTTCATTGGTCAGTCTGCATGAGACTGACTCTCAACTGACGTTCAAAGTCATAGGCAGCGAAGCGTCTCTGTGCAGCGCAAAAGCCCGGGTGGACAGTTTGTTTAATACAGGGTGATCATATTTCCATTTCCAAACAAGAGGACAGGGGATCTGTGCCTATGATGTCACACTATGGCAACGCCACACAAACCATGTTGGGACCCATAGGCGTCATTTTAACCGGGGACGCCGGGGACATGTCCCCGGCAAAATTTGTGATTGGCAGCTGTGTCCCCCCCACTTTAAAAAAAGCCTGCTGATGAGGATTTTTGTTTTACCAGCTAAGATCTTATCCAGGGGTCGGCAAACTGTTCCCATCAAAGAGCCATTATTACCCGTTTCCCACAGTAAAGAAAACACCGCAGTAGCCACAGCATTGTGGGCGGGGCCTACCCTCAGACAGCAGAGCGCTGCTCACAACCAGGTGACAGCAGCCGGTACCGGTCGCTCGCATGGACGTCGCACCCGTGGGGGATTCAACACCCACACTTTTCCTTCTGTTTTGCTCACCTCCACACCAGTCTGGTTTCTTTACGTCACACTCACTCTGTTTGCCTCATCTCCTTCTTCACCTCCACTTCTGACAGCCGATGTCGGGTTTCCAGGAGAGCAGGAGAGGGAGGGACGGAAGAGCTCGACTGAATTCATAATTTTACATCTTGACATTAGCTGTACAAAGTCTGAGTTTGATAAAGTGAAGAACAACCATTTGCAGAGGTTTAGAACTGGCGCGGCACCAGGTTTTCATTTTTGGGTGGGCCACGGTAATTCTGGACGGACCTTAATAAGCAGTGACTTAAGTGAAGCAGGCAGGTCGCGCTAAAAAATTTAGTTTAAAAAGACATCATAAATGTGTTCCCCCGTCATTTTAATTTATAAAATATGAAGTAAAAACTCACAATTTAATTTTCAATTATTTGTCATTAATATGTAGTCTACACCCGACCATCTTCCAGTAAAAGCAGAGCATCCAGCCCATCTCTCCAAATGCGTAAAATGTGCATCAGCCGCTAGTTAGGCGCGTCGCGCGCACCATTAGCTACGTCATCCCAGACAAGAGCAGAGCAAATAGAGAAAGAATAGAGGATAATTGTGTCTGGATGTGGATGGAGATTACATTTTACAGCAGCCTGATCATCATTTAACAGGGTATATACAGCAATCCCTAAGTAAAATTTACTACTTTTTAATACCTTTTTTTACTACCTTCAGAATATTTTTAAAACCATCACAACACTAAATTGCAAGTGTTAATCAGCGACCTATTTACACATATTTTAACATATATAACATACAAAAAGAATAGACTTAAGAGACTCACTGATGTTGACAACGTATTGCACATATTTATTTTACTTAGAAAATAAGCCAGGCACTTCTGTTCAGCGGTTCAGACAGTTGACCACGAGGCCTGAAATGATGCAGAACGACCACTGAATATGACGTCATCATTATGTGACGGATATGCTAAAGTAGGGCTGCTCGATTAAGGTAAAAACAATAATCACGATTATTGTGACTGAAATTGAGATTTCGATTATTTAAGATGATTTTTCAATTAATGTAGATATTTTATTTTATTTTTTTATTCAGTCATAAAATTGCTCAGGGCTAGAGCTGTGGCGACGCATCGATGACGTCGACGGCTCGATTCTAAAAATTTGTCGACGTCAGATCCGTTAGTCAGCGCACCGCGCCCACTTGTTGCATCCCCAGGAGTTTGTAAATGGAGGAGGAATCTGCCTGTTTTTCCTCTAGTTCGCCCTCTTCTCCGCCTTCACTAACATCTCCGCCAAATACCGAAGACCCGGAACGATGTCCGTCCACTACTAGATTATTTTCCTGTTTTGCCCGCCTTCGTCTCCCGGCAACGGACAACAACTTCCGGGGTCAGATGTGCTACTTTGTCTCTACCGCAGATGTAGAACATCACCGGGAGCGTTTCTCCCTTCATAAAGGAGCTTCTTTCAGACATTAGGAGAGCTGTTTTGGTGGTAGCAGTCTCTCCTCCATGCTGGTCTGTTTGCTGCTGGGTATTTTTGGTTTATTTAAACTTGGTAACTTGAATTTAACGTTGGTAAAGCTACTGTTAGCATTTTCGCTAACAGCTTCTTGCGTTTGGATAAGCGGTTACATTTTGGTTTAGAGTTTATCTTTTTTGTGGTGCAGATCTCCCTTTTATTACATTTAGAGTGTTGTGGGTTTTCGGTTTAGTGTAAAATATCACCTCGAGTTTGGTTTAGAGTTTGGACCTTTGGAGATCCTTATTTTGGTCCAGAACCCTGTAATCGTTGCCCAGTGGGACATCCCAGGTTATTTGTACTTTTGTTTTAATTCCCCACAGACAGAATTAGTTTTATTATTCCCAACCTGTGGATGGAAATATTTATGTTTTTTTGTAGTTGTAAATAAACCTGATCATCATTTTAACTTTTAAATCCCGTTATTGTCCCTTCCTTTTTGCACACAAGCCAAACTCCCCAGGAAGGATCGTAACACCACTTGCCTCATGCACATAAGTGACCAAATCAAAGCAGCATGGAGACACTCCGTCTCCAACCACCTCTCAGGCAGCAGCCTGCACTCCCAAGTTCTACACGTCACCAGAACAAAACCAACCACAACACAATAAAAGCAGTGTTATACAAAATGGAAGGCCTGTAGTATTTATTCTCTTACAGTAACAATTTATCCATTTTTGGGAAGAATTTATTTGAGATTTTTTGGTTTTTATTAATTGTGCAATAGAAAAATATTCGCTAGATTAATCATCTAAATAGTCATTAGAATAGTCGACTATTCGATAAAATAATCGTCAGAATAATCATTTTAAAAATACTTGTTTACCCCCAGCCCTACTCAGGGCACAATCAGGGCAAAAATAAATAGGAAACAAGATGATCACTAAAATAACTCC